GGTGGCCTTGGTGCTGTGGGGCACAAGGGGGGTCAGTGGGGTGATGGGGGTATAGGGGGTGATGGGGGTATGGGGGGTAATGGGGGTGATGGGGCTATGGGGGTATAGGGGGGAATGGGGGTGATGGGGGTCAGTGGGGGTGATGGGGGATATAGGGGGCAATGGGGGTGATGGGGGTATGGGGGTATATGGGGTGATGGGGGATATAGGGGGGAATGGGGGCATGGGGGGTGATGGGGGATATAGGGAGCATAGGAGGGAATGGGGGTATAGGGGGTAACAGGGGTAATGAGGGTATAGGGAGTAATGGGGGTATAGGGGGGAATGGGGGATATAGAGGGTATAGGAGGTAATGGGGGTATAGGGGGTGATGGGGGGAATGGGGGTGTATGTGTGACACATGACACGTGACACCCATGACCACACGTGTTCCACCCATGTTCATCCATGACCACACATGTTCCACACATGTCCCACACGCGTCCCACCCATGACCACCCATGTCACACCCATGTTACATCCATGACCACCCATGTGACACCCATGACCACACGTCACACATGTTCTACCCATGTCACACCCATGACCACACATTTTCCACGTGTCCCACCCATGACCACACGTGTTCTACCCATGACCCACACGTGTCCCACACGTGCTCTACCCATGACCACCCATGACCCACACGTGTCCCATACATGTCCCACACGTGTTCTACCCATGACCACCCATGACCCACACGTGTCCCACCCATGACCCACACGTGTCCCATACATGACCCACACATGTTCCACCCATGTCCCACACGTGTCGCATCCATGACCACCCATGACCCACACGCGTCCCACCCATGACCCACACATGTTCCACCCATGACCCACACGTGTCCCACCCATGTTCATCCATGACCACACATGTTCTACCCATGACCCACACGTGTCCCATACATGACCACCCATGTCCCACACGTGTCCCATACATGACCCACACGTGTTCCACCCATGTTCATCCATGACCACACATGTTCTACCCATGACCCACACATATCCCATACATGACCACCCATGACCCACACGTGTCCCATACATGACCCACACGTGTCCCACCCATGTTCATCCATGACCACACATGTTCTACCCATGACCCACACGTGTCCCATACATGACCACCCATGACCCACACGTGTCCCATACATGACCCACACGTGTCCCACCCATGTTCATCCATGACCACACGTGTTCTACCCATGACCCACACATGTCCCACATGTGTCCCATCCATGACCACCCATGTCCCACACGTGTCCCACCCATGTTCCACCCATGTCCCACGTGTCGCATCCATGACCACCCATGACCCACCCATGTCCCACCCATGACCCACACGTGTCCCACCCATGACCCACCCATGACCCACACGTGTTCTACCCATGACCCACACGTCCCACACGTATCCCATCCATGACCACCCATGATCCACACGTGTCCTACCCATGACCCACACGTGTCCCACCCATGACCCACACATGTTCATCCATGACCCACACGTGTCGCATCCATGACCACCCATGTCCCACACGTGGCCCACCCATGACCCACACGTGTCCTACCCATGACCCACCCATGTTCTACCCATGACCACACATGTCCCATCCATGACCCACACGTGTCCACCCATAACCCACACGTGTCCACCCATGACCCACACGTGTCCCATACATGACCCACACGTGTCCCACACATGTTCTACCCATGACCCACACGTGTCCCATACATGTCCCACACGTGTCCCACCCATGACCCACACGTGTCCCACCCGTGTCCCCCCATGACCACCCATGACCCACACGTGTCCTACCCATGACCCACACGTGTCCTACCCATGACCCACACGTGTCCTACCCATGACCCACACATGTTCCACCCATGACCCACACGTGTCCCATACATGATCCACACATGTCCCACACGTGTCCCACCCATGTTCATCCATGACCACACGTGTCCCACCCATGACCCACACGTGTCCCCCGCGTGTCCCACCCATGACCCACACGTGTCCCACACGTGTCCCACCCATGACCCACACGTGTCCCACCCATGACCCACACGTGTCCCACACATGTCCCACACGTGTCCCATCCATGACCACCCATGTCCCACACGTGTCCCACCCATGTTCATCCATGACCCACACGTGTCCCATACATGACCCACACGTGTCCCACCCATGACCCACACGTGTCCCACACGTGTCCCACCCATGACCCACGCGTGTCCCATACATGATCCACACATGTTCCACCCATGACCCACACGTGTCCCACCCATGACCCACACGTGTCCCACCCATGACCCACGCGCGTCCCACCCATGACCCACGCGCGTCCCACCCATGACCCACGCGTGTCCCACACGTGTCCCATACATGACCCACCCGTGTCCCACGTGTGTCCCATACATGACCCACACGTGTCCCATACATGACCCACACGTGTCCCACACATGTTCTACCCATGACCCACACGTGTCTCACCCATGTCCCACCCATGACCCACACGTGTCCCACACATGTTCTACCCATGACCCACCCATGTTCTACCTATGACCACCCCTGTCCCACACGTGTTCTACCCATGTCCCACCCATGACCCACGCGTGTCCCCCGCGTGTCCCACCTGGCCTGGGCCATGAAGTCGTCGTAGAGGAATCGCTGGCGCTGGGAGAGGCGGCACCTGAGGACGTGCTCGAACTTCTGCGGCATCTGCTTCTCCACGTCCACCTTGAGGCGGCGCAGCAGGAACGGCCGCAGCACCTGGGGGGAAAGGGGGCAGAGCAATGGGGGGCAGCCCCACAGAAACCAGACCCATAGAAACCAGACCCATAACACCCAGACCCATAGAGAAACCAGACCCATACAGAAACCAGACCCATAGAGAAATCAGACCCATAGAAACCAGCCACATAGAAAGCAGAAAGGGGGCAGAGCAATGGGGGGCAGAGCAATGGGGGGCAGCCCCATAGCACCCAGACCCATAGAAACCAGACCCATGGAAACCAGACCCATAGAAACCAGACCCATAGAAACCAGACCCAGAGAAACCAAACCCATAGAAACCAGACCCATAGAAACCAGACCCATAGAAACCAGACCCATAGAGAAACCAGACCCATAACACCCAGACCCATAGAGAAACCAGACCGATAGAGAAACCAGACCCATAACACCCAGACCCATAGAGAAACCAGACCCATAGAGAAACCAGACCCATAGAAACCAGACCCATAGAGAAACCAGACCCATAGAAACCAGACCCATAACACCCAGACCCATAGAAAGCAGACCCATAGAAACCAGACCCATAGAAACCAGACCCAGAGAAACCAGACCCATAGAAACCAGACCCATAGCACCCAGACCCATAGAAACCAGACCCATTGAAACCAGACCCATAGAAAGCAGCCCCAGAGAAAGCAGCCATAGAGAAACCAGCCCCATAGAAAGCAGACCCAGAGAAAGCAGAAAGGGGGCAGAGCAATGGGGGGCAGAGCAATGGGGGGCAGCCCCATAGCACCCAGACCCATAGAGAAACCAGACCCATAGAAACCAGACCCATAGAGAAACCAGACCCATAGAAAGCAGCCACAAAGAAAGCAGCCCCATAGAAAGCAGCCATAGAGAAACCAGCCCCATAGAAAGCAGCCCCATAGAAAGCAGCCCCATAGAAAGCAGCCCCATAGAAAGCAGCCCCATAGAAAGCAGAAAGGGGGCAGAGCAATGGGGGGCAGCCCCATAGAAACCAGACCCATAGAAAGCAGAAAGGGGGCAGAGCAATGGGGGGCAGCCCCATAGCACCCAGACCCATAGAAACCAGACCCATAGAAACCAGACCCATAGAGAAACCAGACCCATAGAAACCAGACCCATAGAAACCAGCCCCATAGAGAAACCAGACCCATAGAAACCAGACCCATAGAAACCAGACCCATAGAAACCAGCCCCATAGAGAAACCAGACCCATAGAAACCAGACCCATAGAGAAACCAGACCCATAGAAACCAGACCCATAGAGAAACCAGACCCATAGAAACCAGACCCATAGAGAAACCAGACCCATAGAGAAACCAGCCCCATTGAAACCAGACCCATAGCACCCAGCCCCATAGAAACCAGACCCATAGAAAGCAGAAAGGGGGCAGAGCAATGGGGGGCAGCCCCATAGCACCCAGACCCATAGAGAAACCAGCCCCATAGAAACCAGACCCATAGAAACCAGACCCAGAGAAACCACAAAGGGGGCAGAGCAATGGGGGGCAGCCCCACAGAAACCAGACCCATAAAAAGCAGAAAGGGGGCAGAGCAATGGGGGGCAGCCCCAGAGAAAGCAGCCCCATTGAAACCAGCCTCATTGAAACCAGCAAGGGGGCAGCCCCACAGAAACCAGCCCCAGAGAAACCCTCCATCCTCCACAGACCACACTCCATCCCCCATAGGGTACCCTCCATCCCCTACAGACCCCCATAGGGTATCCTCCATCCCCCTATAGCCCCTCATAGACCCTCATAGGGTACCCTCCATCCCCCCCAGACCCCCACAGAGCCCCATAGGGTACCGTCCACCCCCCATAGCCCCCCATAGACCACCCTCCACCCCCCACAGACCACCCTCCATCCCCCACAGACCCCCATAGACCCCCATAGGGTACCCTCCATCCCCCATAGCCCCCCATAGACCACCCTCCACCCCCCATAGGCCCCCATAGGGTACCCTCAATCCCCTATAGACCCCCATAGACCACCCTACATCCCCTATAGACCCCCATAGGGTACTCTCCATCCCCTATAGCCCCCCATAGGGTACTCTACATCCCCCACAGACCCCCATAGACCACCCTCCATCCCCCATAGGGTACCCTCCACCCCCCACAGACCCCCATTGGGTACCCTCCATCCCCTATAGCCCCCCATAGGGTATCCTCCATCCCCCTATAGCCCCTCATAGACCCCCATAGGGTACCCTCCATCCCCCACAGACCCCCATAGGCTTCCCTCCATCCCCCACAGACCCCCCCCCCTATAGACCCCCATAGGGTACCCTCCATCCCCCATAGCCCCCCACAGACCACCCTCCATCCCCCATAGGGTACCCTCTCCCCCTATAGCCCCCCATAGACCACCCTCCATCCCCCCCAGACCCCCATAGACCCCCATAGGGTACCCTCCACCCCCATAGCCCCCCATAGACCACCCTCCACCCCCCATAGCCCCCCATAGGGTACCCTCCATCCCCTACAGACCCCCATAGACCACCCTCCATCCCTCATAGGGTACCCTCCATCCCCTATAGATCCCCATAGACCACCCTCCATCACCCATAGGGTACCCTCCATCCCCTACAGACCCCCATAGGCTACCCTCCATCCCCTATAGCCCCCACACAGGGTATCCTCCATCCCCCTATAGCCCCTCATAGACCCCCATAGGCTTCCCTCCATTCTCCATAGACCCCCATAGGGTACCCTCCATCCCCCATAGCCCCCCACCCCCCATAGGGGACCCCCTCCATCCCCCATAGGGTACCCTCCATCCCCCATAGCCCCCCATAGACCACCCTCCATCCCCCATAGGGTACCCTCCACCCCCCATAGCCCCCCATAGACCACCCTCCATCCCCCATAGGGTACCCTCCCCCATAGCCCCCCATAGACCACCCTCCATAGGGTACCCTCCATCCCCAGACCCCCATAGCCCCCCATAGGGTACCCTCCATCCCCCCACAGACCCGCATAGACCCCCATAGGGTACCCTCCACCCCCCATAGCCCCCCATAGACCACCCTCCATCCCCTATAGCCCCCCATAGGGTACCCTCCATCCCCTATAGACCCCCATAGACCACCCTACATTCCCTATAGAACCCCATAGGGTACCCTCCATCCCCTATAGACCCCCATAGACCCCCATAGCCATCACCCATAGGGTACCCTCCATCCCCCATAGCCCCCCATAGACCACCCTCCATCCCCCCCAGAGCCCCATAGGGTACCCTCCACCCCCCATAGGGTACCCTCCATCACCTATAGACCCCCATAGGATATCCTCCATCCCCCTATAGCCCCTCATAGACCCCCATAAGGTACCCTCCACCCCCCATAGGGCACCCCCCCCCACCCCCCACCTTGTGCAGGCGCTTGACGAGGCTCTCGTTGTACTCCTGGCTGCCCTCGATCATGCCCGTCAGGGGGTTCGAGAACCACTCCTTGAACTCCCGGTGGGACTGGAACACTCGGGGCATCAGGAAGTGCATGAGGGACCAGAGCTCCATGAGGCTGTTCTGCAGCGGCGTGCCCGTCAGCAGCAGCCGCCGCTGGCTGCAAAAGAGGGGAGGAAAGCACCCAGTCAGCACCCAGCAGCACCCATCAGTACCCATTGGTACCCAGTCAGCACCCATTGGTACCCATTGGTAGCCAGTCAGCACCCAGCAGCACCCATTGGTACCAATTGGTACCCAGTCAGCACCCATCGGCACCCATCGGTACCCATCAGTACCCATTGGTACCCAGTCAGCACCCAGCAGCACCCATCGGTACCCATTGGTACCCAGTCAGCACCCATTGGTACCCAGGGATGCTCTATGGGCATCCATTGGCACCCACTGGTACCCAGTCAGCACCCAGCAGCACCCATTGGTAGCCAGTCAGCACCCATCGGTACCCAGTCAGCACCCATCGGCACCCAGGGATGCTCTATGGGCATCCATCGGCATCCACTGGTACCCATCGACACCCATTGGTACCCAGTCAGCACCCATTGGTACCCAGGGATGCTCTATGGGCATCCATTGGCACCCATTGGTACCCAGTCAGCACCCATCGGCACCCAGGGATGCTCTATGGGCATCCATTGGCACCCATTGGTACCCATCAGCACCCATTGGTACCAGTCAGCAATCAGCGGTACCCAGGGATGCTCTATGGGCATCCATTGGCACCCATTGGTACCCAGCAGCACCCATTGGTACCCATTGGTACCCAGTCAGCACCCATCGGTACCCAGGGATGCTCTATGGGCATCCATTGGCACCCATTGGTACCCAGTCAGCACCCAGCAGCACCCAGCGGCACCCATTGGTACCCAGTCAGCACCCATCGGCACCCAGGGATGCTCTATGGGCATCCATCGGCACCCATTGGTACCCATCGACATCCATTGGTACCCATTGGTACCCAGTCAGCACCCATCGGTAGCCAGGGATGCTCTATGGGCACCCATCGGTACCCAATCAGCATGCATCGGTACCCATCGGCACCCATTGGTACCCAGTCAGCACCCATCGGTACCCAGAGATGCTCTACGGGCATCCATCGGCACCCATTGGTACCCATTGGCACCCATTGGTACCCATTGGTACCCAGCAGCACCCATCGGTACCCAGGGATGCTCTATGGGCACCCATCGGTACCCAGTCAGCATCCATGGGTACCCATCGGCACCCACTGGTACCTAGTCAGCACCCATCGGTACCCAGAGATGCTATATGGGCATTCATCGGCACCCATTGGTACCCAGTCAGCACCCAGCAGCACCCATCAGTACCCATTGGTACCCAGTCAGCACCCATCGGTACCCAGAGATGCTCTATGGGCATCCATCGGCACCCATTGGTACCCATCGGCACCCACTGGTACCCATTGGTACCAGGTCAGCACCCATGGGTGCTCCATGAGGCTGTTCTGCAGCGGCGTGCCCGTCAGCAGCAGCCGCCGCTGGCTGCAAAAGGGGGGGGGGAAGAGCACCCAGTCAGCACCCATTGGTACCCATTGGTACGTAGTCAGCACCCATCAGTACCCAGTCAGCACCCATTGGTACCCATCGGCACCCATTGGTACCCAGAGATGCTCTGTGGGCATCCATCAGCATCCACTGGTACCCATCGACACCCATCGGTACCCAGGGATGCTTTATGGGCATCCATCGGCACCCATTGGTACCCAGCAGCACCCATTGGTACCCAGTCAGCACCCATCGGTACCCAGGGATGCTCTATGGGCACCCATCGGTACCCAGTCAGCATCCATGGGTACCCATTGGTACCCAGAGATGCTCTGTGGGCATCCATGGCATCCATCGGCACCCATTGGTACCCAGGGATGCTCTATGGGCATCCATTGGCGCCCATTGGTACCCATCGGCACCCATAAGCACCCATTGGTACCCAGTCAGCACCCATTGGTACCCAGGGATGCTCTATGGGCATCCATCAGCACCCACTGGTACCCAGTCAGCACCCATTGGTACCCAGCAGCACCCATCGGTACCCAGGGATGCTCTATGGGCATCCATCGGCACCCACTGATAGCTATCAGCATCCATCAGCACCCATGTAGGCTCTATCAAGGGGGATACAAGGAACCAAATGGCACCCATCAGCACCCATGGGTGCTCTATAGGGTTGATACAGGAAACCCATCAGCACCATCAGCATCCATTGCTACCCATCACCCCCTATGCATGCTCTATCAAGGGGGATACAAGGAACCCATTAGCACCCATCGGCACCCATGGGCACCCATTAGCACCCATCAGCACCCATGGGTGCTCTATGGGGGAATACAAGGAATCCATCCCCATCCATTGGTACCCATCAGCATCCATCAGCACCCATCACCACCCATGTATGCTCTATCAAGGGGGATACAAGGAACCCATTAGCACCCATGGGTACCCATCAGCACCCATGGGTGCTCTATAGGAGGGATACAGGAAACCCATCAGCATCATCAGCATCCTTTGGTACCCATCAGCATCCATCAGTACCCATCACCACCCACCTATACTCTATTGGTGTGGATACAAGGAACCCATTAGCACCCATGGGCACCCATTAGCACCCATGGGCACCCATTAGCACCCATCAGCACCCATGGGTGCTCTACGGGGGAATACAAGGAATCCATCACCATCCATTGGTACCCATCAGCACCCATTGGTACCCATCAGCATCCATCGGTACCCATCACCACCCACCTATACTCTATCGGTGTGGATACAAGGAACCCATTAGCACCCATGGGCACCCATTAGCACCCATCAGCACCCATGGGTGCCCACCTATTGAAGTTAAGCAAGGACTGCCACCGCTGGGACTTGAAGTTCTTGATGTTTTGGGCCTCATCCAGGATCAGGTACTTCCAGTTCTTCCTCCTGAAGGCCTGATGGTCCTGGAGCACCAGCTTGTAGGACGTGATGCACACATGGAAAGCATTGGGTTTGGTCCAGCCCTATGGGGTTGAGATGAATGGGATGTCAATGGGGTGCTAAAATGGGTGCTGGGTGTCACCCACCCCCCCCTGTTCCCAGCACCCATGGGTGCTCACCTGGCGCTTGAGGCGTCGTTCTTTCTGTGCCCCATAATAGGTGAGGATCTTGAAGCTGGGGCACCAACGTTTGAGCTCCATCTCCCAGTTGAGCATCACGCTGGTGGGCACGATGATGAGGTGGGGGCCCCAGCTGCCTGCAATGGGGGGGTGGAAGGGGGTCAGGGCACCCATGGGTGCTGGGGGGTGGGGAGGGTGAGGGGAGAGCGGATGTGGGTGGTGGAAGGGGGGGAAATAGGGGCTATGGGGGGGGTAGAGCACCTATGGGTGATAGAGGGGGGCATAGGGATGGATAGGGGCCATGGGGGGGTATAGGACCTATGGGTGATGGGGGGCATCCATAGGGATGGGTAAGGGGGTAGAACAACTTATGGGTGATGGGGGGCACCCATAGGGATGGGTAAGGGGGTAGAGCACCTATGGGTGATGGGGGGCACCCATAGGGATGGGTAAGGGGGTAGAGCACCTATGGGTGATGGGGGGCACCCATAGGGATGGATAGGGGCCATGGGGGGGTATAGGACCTATGGGTGATGGTGGGCACCCATAGGGAGGGGTAAGGGGGTAGAGCACCTATGGGTGATGGTGGGCACCCATAGGGATGGATAGGGGCCATGGGGGGGTATAGGACCTATGGGTGATGGGGGGCACCCATAGGGAGGGGTAAGGGGGTAGAGCACCTATGGGTGATGGGGGGCCACCCATAGGGATGGGTAAGGGGGTAGAGTACCTATGGGTGATGGGGGGCACCCATAGGGATGGATAGGGGCCATGGGGGGGTATAGGACCAATAGGGTGTATAGGGTGATGAGAGCACCCATAGGAATGAATAGGTCCAATACAGGGGGTACAGCACCCATGGGTGCTCAGTGATCCCATAGGGTTGTACAGGTCCCATATGAAACCTACAGCACCCATGGGTGCTCAGGGAGCCCATAGGCATGTACAGGTCCCATATGGAGCCTACAGCACCCATGGGTGCTATGGGGCACCCCCACCCCCCATCCCAACCCTCCATCACCCCCAGACCCTAAAGCCTCCCCTATATGGACCCTATAACACACCCACCCTTAAAGACCCACGGAGGCAAGACGAGCACACCCCCCCCCAGCACCCATGGGTGCTCAGTGATCCCATAGGGATGTACAAGTCCCATATGGAGGCTGCATCACCCATGGGTGCTCTGGGATCCCATAGGGCTGCACAGGTCCCATATGGAGCCTACAGCACCCATGGGTGCTCAGGGAACATATAGGGATGTACAGGTCCCATATGGAGCCTACAGCACCCATGGGTGCTCTGGGAGCCCATAGGGTTGTACAAGTCCCATATGGAGGCTGCATCACCCATGGGTGCTCAGTGATCCCATAGGGCTGCACAGGTCCCATATGGTGACGACAGCACCCATGGGTGCTCAGTGATCCCATAGGGTTGTACAAGTCCCATATGGAGCCTACAGCACCCATGGGTGCTATGGGGCACCCCCACCTCCCATCCCAACCCTCCATCACCCCCAGACCCTAAAGCCTCCCCATCACCCCTATATGGACCCTATAACACACCCACCCTTAAAGACCCACGGAGGCAAGACGAGCACCCCTCCCCCAGCACCCATGGGTGCTCAGGGAACCCATAGGGATGTACAAGTCCCATATGGAGGCTGCATCACCCATGGGTGCTCTGGGATCCCATAGGGTTATACAGGTCCCATATGGAGGCTGCATCACCCATGGGTGCTCACTGATCCCATAGGGCTGCACAGGTCCCATATGGTGACGACAGCACCCATGGGTGCTCAGTGATCCCATAGGGCTGCACAGGTCCCATATGGAGCCTACAGCACCCATGGGTGCTATGGGGCACCCCCACCTCCCATCCCAACCCTCCATCACCCCCAGACCCTAAAGCCTCCCCTATATGGACCCTATAACACACCCACCCTTAAAGACCCATGGAGACAAGACGAGCACCCCCCCCCCAGCACCCATGGGTGCTCAGGGAACCCATAGGGATGTACAGGTCCCATATGTTAACTATAGCACCCATGGGTGCTCTGGGATCCCATAGGGTTGTACAGGTCCCATATGGAGCCTACAGCACCCATGGGTGCACAGGGAACATATAGGGATGTACAGGTCCCATATGTTGACTATAGCACCCATGGGTGCTCTGGGAGCCCATAGGGTTATACAGGTCCCATATAGAGCCTACAGCACCCATGGGTGCTCACGGAACATATAGGGATGTACAGGTCCCATATGTTGACTATAGCACCCATGGGTGCTCTGGGAGCCCATAGGGTTATACAGGTCCCATATGGAGCCTACAGCACCCATGGGTGCTCAGTGATCCCATAGGGTTATACAGGTCCCATATGGAGCCTAGAGCACCCATGGGTGCCCATAGGGATGCACTGGTCCCATATGGAGCCTACAGCACCCATGGGTGCTATGGGGTACCCCCACCCCCATCCCAACCTTCCAGCACCCATAGGTGCTCAGGGAGCCCATAGGAATGCACAGGGCCCATATGGAGGCTACAGCACACAGGGGTGCCCATAACGTTGTACAGGTCCCATATGGAGCCTACAGCACCCATGGGTGCTCAGTGATCCCATAGGGCTGCACAGGTCCCATACGGAGCCTAGAACACCCATGGGTACCCATAGGGATGCACTGGTCCCATATGGAGCCTACAGCACCCATGGGTGCCCCTGAGGACCCCTACCTCCATCCCAACCCTCCATCACCCCCAGACCCTAAAGCCTCCCCTATATGGACCCTATAACACACCCACCCTTAAAGACCCACGGAGACAAGACGACCACCCCCCCCCAGCACCCATGGGTGCCCCCCACCCTCACCCTTCTCGCAGGCCAGGTGAGCCAGGAGGGAGATGGTTTGGATGGTCTTGCCCAACCCCATCTCGTCGGCCAGGATCCCATTGAGTTTCTTCTCGTACATGGTCACCAACCAATCCAGCCCTATATGTTGGTACTCCCTTAGGGTGCCCCTCAGCAGGTGTGGGATTGGGGTCTTCACCTAAAGGGAGACATAGGGTTAGCACCCAGACCCATAGAGCACCCATGGTGGGGTGAAGGTGGGGGGGGGGGAGGTAGGACCCTAGGGTGGCTCCATAGAAACCTATGGGGGTGGAAGGAGAGCTTTAGGACCCTGGGGTGGCCCTATGGGGCTGTATGGGGATGGATTGGGGGGGGATCCAGGACACAGGGGTGGCCCTATGGGGCTGTATGGGGATGGATTGGGGGGGGGAATCTAGGACACAGGGGTGGCCCTATGGGACCCTATGGGCACGGATGGGGGGCTCTAGGACCCTGGGGTGGCCCCATAGAACCCTATGGGCATGGATGGGGGGGCTCTAGGACCCTGGGGGTGGCCCCATAGAACCCTATGGGCATGGATTTGGGGGGGGGCCTAGGACCATGGGGTGGCCCTATGGGACCCTATGGGCATGGATGGGGGGGCTCTAGGACCCTAGGGTGGCCCTATGGGACCCTATGGACATGGATGGGGGGCTCTATGACCCAGGGGCTGCCCCATAGAACCCTATGGTGGTGGAGGGGGATCTCTAGGACACACGGGTGGCCCCATAGAACCCTATGGACATGGATGGGGGGCTCTAGGACCCAGGGGTGGCCCTATGGGACCCTATGGACATGGATGGGGGGCTCAAGGACCCAGGGGCTGCCCCATAGAACCCTATGGCGGTGGAGGGGGATCTCTAGGACACACGGGTGGCCCCATAGAACCCTATGGACATGGATGGGGGGCTCTAGGATGCAGGGGCTGCCCCATAGAACCCTATGGTGGTGGAGGGGGGGCTCTAGGATGCAGGGGTGGCCCCATAGAACCCTATGGACATGGATGGGGGGCTCTAGGAGGCAGGGGTGGCCCCATAGAACCCTATGGACATGGATGGGGGGTTCTAGGACCCTGGGGTGGCCCCATAGAACCCTATGGACATAGATGGGGGGCTCTAGGACGCAGGGGTGGCCCCATAGAACCCTATGGGCATGGATGGGGGGCTCTTGGACGCAGGGGTGGCCCCATAGAACCCTATGGACATGGACGGGGGGCTCTAGGACCATGGGGTGGCCCCATAGAACCCTATGGGCATGGATGGGGGTGCTCTAGGACCCAGGGTTGGCCCCATAGAACCCTATGGACATAGATGGGGGGCTCTAGGACGCTGGGGTGGCCCCATAGAACCCTATGGACATGGATGGGGGGCTCTAGGACCCAGGGGTGGCCCCATAGAACCCTATGGACATGGATGGGGGGCTCTAGGACACGCGGGTGGCCCCATAGAACCCTATGGACATGGATGGGGGGCTCTAGGACCCAGGGGTGGCCCCATAGAACCCTATGGACATGGATGGGGGGCTCTAGGACACAGGGGTGGCCCCATAGAACCCTATGGACATGGATGGGGGGCTCAAGGACACAGGGGCTGCCCCACAGAACCCTATGGACATGGATGGGGGGCTCTAGGACGCAGGGTTGGCCCCATAGAACCCTATGGACATAGATGGGGGGCTCTAGGACGCAGGGGTGGCCCCATAGAACCCTATGGACATGGATGGGGGGCTCTAGGACGCAGGGGTGGCCCCATAGAACCCTATGGACATAGATGGGGGGCTCTTAGGACACAAAGGTGGCCCCATAGAACCCTATGGCGTCAGAGGTGGGTCTCTAGGAGCCATGGGTGCTCTATGGGGCGGGTGCTATGGGGCGTGTGTGGGGTGGGTGCTACCTGGGTGGTGGCCAGGGTGTACCCCTTGGGCTGAAGGCTCTCTGCGGCGGCGGCGATGTCGGTGATCTCCTTCTTTGGGGTGGGGGTGATGGGGGGTGGAGGCGGTGGGGTGGTGGGGGGTGGCGTGGGGGCCCCTTCCTCTTCCTCTTCCTCCTCCTCTTCCTCGTCCTCGTCTTCGTCCTCGTCCTCTTCTTCCTCGTCTTCGTCGTCCTCCTCCTCTTCCTCGTCGCTCTCGGCTGCTGGGGAGTCTGGGGGGGTATAGGGGGGGGCTCTAGGACCCTGGGGGTGGCCCCATAGATCTCTATGGGCATGGATGGGGGGGCTCTAGGACCCTGGGGGTGGCCCCATAGATCAATATGGGCATGGATGGGGTGCTCTGTGACCCTAGGGTGGCCCCATATATCTCTATGGGCATGGATGGGGTGCTCTGTGACCCTAGGGTGGCCCCATAGATCTCTATGGGCATGGATGGGGTGCTCTGTGACCCTAGGGTGGCCCCATAGAACCCTATGGACATGGATGGGGGGGCTCTAGGACCCTGGGGGTGGCCCCATAGGACCCTATGGGCATGGATGGGGGGGGGGCCTAGGACCCAGGGGTGGCCCCATAGAACCCTATGGGCATGGATGGGGTGCTCTATGACCCTAGGGTGGCCCCATAGAACCCTATGGGCATGGATAGGGGGGCTCTAGGACCCTGGGGGTGGCCCCATAGATCTCTATGGGCATGGATGGGGTGCTCTGTGACTCTAGGGTGGCCCCATAGAACCCTATGGGCATGGATGGGGGGGCTCTAGGACCCTGGGGGTGGCCCCATAGATCTCTATGGGCATGGATGGGGTGCTCTGTGACTCTAGGGTGGCCCCATAGAACCCTATGGGCATGGATGGGGGGGCTCTAGGACCCTGGGGGTGGCCCCATAGATCTCTATGGGCATGGATGGGGTGCTCTGCGACTCTAGGGTGGCCCCATAGATCTCTATGGGCATGGATGGGGGGGCTCTAGGACCCTGGGGGTGGCCCCATAGATCTCTATGGGCATGGATGGGGTGCTCTGTGACCCTAGGGTGGCCCCATAGAACCCTATGGGCATGGATGGGGGGCTCTAGGACCATGGGATGGCCCTATGGCACCCTATGCTCATGGATTGGGGGGGGCCCTAGGACCCAGGGGTGGCCCCATAGAACCCTATGGGCATGGATGGGGGGCTCTAGGACCATGGGGTGGCCCTATGGCACCCTATGGGCATGGATGGGGGGGCTCTAGGACCCTAGGGTGGCCCTATGGCACCCTATGGGCATGGATGGGGGTCTCTAGGACCCAGGGGTGGCCCTATGGCACCCTATGGGCATGGAAGGGGGTCTCTAGGACCCATGGGGTGGCCCTATGGCACCCTATGGGCATGGATGAGGAGGTCTCTAGGACTATGGGTTGGCCCTATGGCACCCTATGGGCATGGATGGGGGTCTCTAGGACCCATGGGGTGGCCCTATGGCACCCTATGGGCATGGATGAGGAGGTCTCTAGGACTATGGGGTGGCCCTATGGCACCCTATGGGCATGGATGGGGGTCATTAGGACCCAGGGGTGACCCTATGGCACCCTATGGGCATGGATGGGGGGCTCTAGGACCATGGGGTGGCCCTATGGCACCCTATGGGCATGGATGGGGGGCTCTAGGACTATGGGGTGGCCCCATAGAACCCAATGGGCAGTGGAGGGGGGTCTCTAGGACCCAGCGGTGTCCCCATAGAACCCAATGGGCAGTGGAGGGGGGTCTCTAGGACCCAGCGGTGTCCCCATAGAACCCTATGGGCATGGATGGGGGGCTCTAGGACCCAGCGGTGTCCCCATAGAACCCAATGGGCAGTGGAGGGGGGTCTCTAGGACCCAGGGGTGGTGCTAGAGCACCCATGGGTGCCCTTACAGCACCCATGGGTGCCCTATAGCACCCATGGATGACACTATAGAACCCATAGATGCTCTTATAACACCCGGGGGGGGGCTTTCTCTATGCCCCCTATGGGTGCCCCAATACACCCATATGCACCCATATGCCCCCCCCCCCCCCCAGCACCCATGGGTGCTCCTACCTGAGCGGGTGCTGCTGGCGCCGGGGGGGGACTCGCAGTCGGAGTCAGCGAAGGCTCCGGCGTAGCGCTGCAGCAGCTCCTCCATCGGCAGCGCCCCTGCGGGACCAGGGCACCCATGGGTGCTGGGTGGGTGCCAGGGCACCCATGGGTGCTGGGTGGGTGTCAGAGCACCCATGGGTGCTGGGTGTGTAATGGCATCTATGGGTGCTGGGTGTGTAATGGCACCTATGGGTGCTGGGTGTGCAACGGCACCCATGGGTGCTGGGTGGGTGCCAGGGCACCCATGGGTGCTGGGTGCGCAAAGGCACCTATGGGTGCTGGGTGTGTAATGGCACCTATGGGTGCTGGGTGTGTAATGGCAGCCATGGGTGCTGGGTGTGCAATGGCAGCCATGGGTGCTGGGTGGGCGGCAGGGCACCCATGGGTGCTGGGTGTGTAATGGCAGCCATGGGTGCTGGGTGTGCAACGGCACCCATGGGTGCTGGGTGGGTGCCAGGGCACCCATGGGTGCTGGGTGTGCAAAGACACCTATGGGTGCTGGGTGTGTAATGGCAGCCATGGGTGCTGGGTGGGCGGCAGGGCACCCATGGGTGCTGGGTGGGTGCCAGGGCACCCATGGGTGCTGGGTGTGTAATGGCAGCCATGGGTGCTGTGTGTGCAATGGCAGCCATGGATGCTGGGTGTGCAATGACACCCATGGGTGCTGGGTGTGCAATGGCACCTATGGGTGCTGGGTGTGTAATGGCACCTATGGGTGCTGGGTGTGCAAAGACACCCATGGGTGCTGTGTGTGCAATGGCAGCCATGGATGCTGGGTGTGCAATGACACCATGGGTGCTGGGTGTGCAAGGACACCCATGGGTGCTGGGTGTGCAATGGCACCCATGGGTGCTGGGTGCATGCGAGAGCACAGATGGGTGCTGTGTGCATAATGGCACCCATGGGTGCTGTGTGTGCAATGGCAGCCATGGATGCTGGGTGTGCAATGACACCCATGGGTGCTGGCTGTGCAAAGACACCCATGGATGCTGGGTGTGTAATGGCACCTATGGGTGCTGGGTGTGCAAAGACACCCATGGGTGCTGTGTGCATGCGAGAGCACAGATGGGTGCTGCGTGCGTAATGGCAGCCATGGGTGCTGTGTGTGCAAAGGCACCCATGGGTGCTCTCCATGAGGGCACCCATGGGTGCTGTGTGTGCAATAGCAGCCATGGATGCTGGGTGCGTAATGGCACCCATGGGTGCTGCGTGCGTAACGGCACCCATGGGTGCTGCGTGCGTAACGGCACCCATGGGTGCTGCGTGCGTAACGGCACCCATGGGTGCTGCGTGCGTAACGGCACCCATGGGTGCTGCGTGCGTAACGGCACCCATGGGTGCTGCGTGCGTAACGGCACCCATGGGTGCTGCGTGCGTAACGGCACCCATGGGTGCTGCGTGCGTAACGGCACCCATGGGTGCTCTCCATGAGGGCACCCATGGGTGCTGTGTGTGCAACGGCAGCCATGGATGCTGGGTGCGTAATGGCACCCATGGGTGCTGTGTAATGGCACCCATGGGTGCTGTGTGCGTAATGACGTCCATAGGTGCTCTATGGGTCCCCCATGGGTGCTGTGTGCGCGGTGGCACCCATAGGTTTTGTGTGTTTAGTGCACCCATAGGTGCTCAATGGGTCCCCCATGGATGCTGTGGGTGTAGTGGCACCCATGGGTGCTCTCTGGGTCCGCCATGGGTGCTGTGTGTGCAGTGGCACCCATGGGTGCTCTCTGGGTCCGCCATGGGTGCTGTGTGTGCAGTGGCACCCATGGGTGCTCCCTGGGTCCACCATGGGTGCTGTGTGGCCGGTGGCACCCATGGGTGCTCAATGGGTCGCCCATGGGTGCTGTGTGTGTAGTGGCACCCATGGGTGCTCTCTGGGTCCGCCATGGGTGCTGTGCATGCAGTGGCACCCATGGGTGCTCAATGGGTCGCCCATGGGTGCTGTGTGTGTAGTGGCACCCATGGGTGCTCAATGGGTCCGCCATGGGTGCTGTGCGGGCGGTGGCACCCATGGGTGCTCAATGGGTCGCCCATGGGTGCTGTGTGGCCGGTGGCACCCATGGGTGCTCTCTGGGTCCGCCATGGGTGCTGCGTGGCCGGTGGCACCCATGGGTGCTCTCTGGGTCCAACATGGGTGCTGTGTGTGCAGTGGCACCCATGGGTGCTCAATGAGTCCGCCATGGGTGCTGTGTGTGTAATGGCACCCATGGGTGCTCAATGGGTCCCCCATGGGTGCTGTGTGTGTAATGGCACCCATGGGTGCTCTCTGGGTCCGCCATGGGTGCTGTGTGTGCAGTGGCACCCATGGGTGCTCTCTGGGTCCGCCATGGGTGCTGTGCGTGCAGTGGCACCCATGGGTGCTCAATGGGTCCGCCATGGGTGCTGTGTGTGTAGTGGCACCCATGGGTGCTCAATGGGTCCCCCATGGGTGCTGTGTGTGCAGTGGCACCCATGGGTGCTCAATGGGTCCGCCATGGGTGCTGTGTGTGCAGTGGCACCCATGGGTGCTCTATGGGTCCGCCTTGGGTGCTGTGTGGCCGGTGGCACCCATGGGTGCTCTCTGGGTCTGCCATGGGTGTTGTGTGGGCGGTGGCACCCATGGGTGCTCAATGGGTCCCCCATGGCTGCTGTGTGTGCAGTGGCACCCATGGGTGCTCTCTGGGTCTGCCATGGGTGCTGTGTGGCCGGTGGCACCCATGGGTGCTCTCTGGGTCCGCCATGGGTGCTGTGTGTGTAGTGGCACCCATGGGTGCTCAATGGGTCCGCCATAGGTTCTGTGTGTGTAGTGGCACCCATGGGTGCTCTCGGGGTCCCCCATGGGTGCTGCGTGGCCGGTGGCACCCATGGGTGCTCCCTGGGTCCGCCATGGGTGCTGCGTGGCCGGTGGCACCCATGGGTGCTCTCTGGGTCCCCCATGGGTGCTGTGTGGCCGGTGGCACCCATGGGTGCTCCCTACCTTCCCGGGCCAGGTCATCCAGCTCCTGTTTGTGGTCCACGTCCCCCTCGAGCCGCTCCTGCGCCGCGATCGTCTCCTCCTCGTCCTCCCCTGCGGGGACACCCAATGGGTGACATCAGCACCCAGTGGGTGACACCAGCACCCAGTAGGTGACATCAGCTCCCAATGGGTGCCATTGACCGTAATGGGTGACATCAGCACCCAATGGGTGACATCAGCACCCAATGGGTGCCTCTGACCCCAGTGGGTGACATCAGCACCCAGTGGGTGACATCAGCACCCAGTGGGTGCCATTGACCTCAATGGGTGCCATTGACCTCAATGGGTGATACCAGCACCCAATGAGTGACATCAGCACCCAGTGGGTGCCATTGACCATAATGGTTGACATCAGCGCCCAATGGGTGCCACTGACCCCAATGGATGACATCAGCACCCAGTGAGTGACATCAGTACCCAATGGGTGCCACTGACCATAATGGGTGACATCAGCACCCAATGGGTGACATCAGCACCCAGTGGGTGACATCAGCACCCAATGGGTGCCATTGACCTCAATGGGTGACACCAGCACCCAATGGGTGCCATTGACCATAATTGGTGACATCAGCACCCAGTGGGTGACACCAGCACCCAATGGGTGCCACTGACCCCAGTGGGTGAGATCAGCACCCGATGGGTGCCATTGACCATAATGGGTGACATCAGCACCCAATGGGTGCCACTGACCCCAGTGGGTGACATCAGCACCCGATGGGTGCCATTGACCTCAATGGGTGCCATTGACCTCAATGGGTGACACCAGCACCCAATGAGTGACATCAGCACCCAGTGGGTGCCATTGACCATAATGGGTGACATCAGCACCCAATGGGTGCCACTGACCCCAATGGATGACATCAGCACCCAGTGAGTGACATCAGTACCCAATGGGTGCCACTGACCATAATGGGTGACATCAGCACCCAGTAGGTGTCATTGACCATAATGGGTGACACCAGCACCCAATGGGTGACATCAGCACCCAGTGGGTGACATCAGCACCCAATGGGTGCCATTGACCTCAATGGGTGACACCAGCACCCAATGGATGCCACTGACCCCAACGGGTGACACCAGCACCCAATGGATGCCACTGACCCCAACGGGTGACACCAGCACCCAATGGGTGCCATTGACCCCAACGGGTGACACCAGCACCCAATGGGTGCCATTGACCCCAACGGGTGACACCAGCACCCAATGGGTGCTATTGACCCCAATGGGTGCCATTGACCTGAAAGGGTGACACCAGACCCCAATGGGTGCCATTGACCCCAATGGGTGCTATTGACCCGAAAGGGTGACACCAGCACCCAATGGGTGCCATTGACCCGAACGGGTGACACCAGCACCCAATGAGTGCTATTGACCCCAATGAGTGCTATTGATCCCAATGGGTGCCATTGACCCGAAAGGGTGACACCAGCACCCAATGGGTGCCATTGACCCGAAAGGGTGACACCAGCACCCAATGGGTGCTATTGACCCCAATGGGTGCCATTGACCCCAACGGGTGACACCAGCACCCAATGGGTGCCATTGACCCCAACAGGTGACACCAGCACCCAATGGGTGCTATTGACCCCAATGGGTGCCATTGACCCGAACGGGTGACACCAGCACCCAATGGGTGCTATTGACCCCAATGAGTGCTATTGACCCCAATGGGTGCCATTGACCCAAAAGGGTGACACCAGCACCCAATGGGTGCCATTGACCCCAACGGGTGACACCAGCACCCAATGAGTGCCATTGACCCCAATGGGTGCCATTGACCCGAAAGGGTGACACCAGCACCCAATGGGTGCCATTGACCCCAACGGGTGACACCAGCACCCAATGAGTGCCATTGACCCCAATGGGTGCCATTGACCCGAAAGGGTGACACCAGCACCCAATGGGTGCTATTGACCCCAATGGGTGCTACTGACCCCAATGGGTGCCATTGACCCGAAAGGGTGACACCAGCACCCAATGGGTGCCATTGACCCCAATGGGTGCTATTGACCCCAATGGGTGCCATTGACCCGAAAGGGTGACACCAGCACCCAATGGGTGCCATTGACCCGAAAGGGTGACACCAGCACCCAATGGGTGCTATTGACCCCAATGAGTGCTACTGACCCCAATGGGTGCCATTGACCCCAACGGGTGACACCAGCACCCAATGGGTGCTATTGACCCCAATGAGTGCTACTGACCCGAACGGGTGACACCAGCACCCAATAGGTGCTATTGACCCCAATGGGTGCTATTGACCCCAATGAGTACCATTGACCCGAAAGGGTGACACCAGCACCCAATGGGTGCTATTGACCCCAATGGGTGCCATTGACCCGAAAGGGTGACACCAGCACCCAATGGGTGCCATTGACCCGAACGGGTGACACCAGCACCCAATGGGTGCTATTAACCCCAATGGGTGCCATTGACCCCAATGGGTGCCACTGACCCCAACGGGTGACACCAGCACCCAATGGGTGCTATTGACCCCAATGGGTGCCACTGACCCCAATGGGTGCTATTGACCCGAAAGGGTGACACCAGCACCCAATGGGTGCTATTGACCCCAATGGGTGCCATTGACCCGAACGGGTGACACCAGCACCCAATGGGTGCCATTGACCCCAATGGGTGCTATTGACCCGAAAGGGTGACACCAGCACCCAATGGGTGCCATTGACCCCAATGGGTGCTATTGACCCGAAAGGGTGACACCAGCACCCAATGGGTACTACTGACCCCAATGAGTGCCATTGACCCGAAAGGGTGACACCAGCACCCAATGGGTGCCATTGACCCCAATGGGTGCTATTGATCCCAATGGGTGCCATTGACCCCACTGGGTGCCAGCCCCCACCCATGGGTGCCCCCTTCCCCCCCCCCCCATTTCTCACCCTCTTCCTCCTCGGCTGCGAACTCCTCATCCTCCTCACGCAGCTCCCAGGGGCTCTTGTTCTGCTGCAGCAGCGCCTGGGGGGTCAGGGTGGGGGTCAGGGTGGGGGTCAGGGTGGGGGTCAGGGTGGGGGTCAGGGTGGGGGTCAGGGTGGGGGGGGACTGAATTGGGTGGGGGTCAAGGTGGGGGGGGCCTTGCATTGGGTGGGGGTCAGGGTGGGAGGGGGACTGAATTGGGTGGGGGTGTCCTAGCATTGGGTGGGGGTTAGGGTGGGGGTCGGGGGGGGGGGGGCCTGCATTGGGTGGGGGTCAGGGTGGGGGGGAACTGGATTGGGTGGGGGGGGGGGTCCATGCATTTGGTGGGGGTCAGGGTGGGGGGGGGACTGAATTGGGTGGGGGTCAGGGTGGGGGGGTCCTAGCATTGGGTGGGGGTCAGGGTGGGGGGGTCCCTGCATTGGGTGGGGGTCAGGGTGGGGGGGGACCCTGCATTGGGGGGGGGGGGGGGGGCATGCATTTGGTGGGGGTCAGGGTGGGGGGGTCCTTGCATTGGGTGGGGGTCAGGGTGGGGGGGTCCTAGCATTGGGTGGGGTTTAGGGTGGGGGTCAGGGTGGGGGGGTCCTTGCATTGGGTGGGGTTTAGGGTGGGGGTCAGGGTGGGGGGGGTCCTTGCATTGGGTGGGGTTTAGGGTGGGGGTCAGGGTGGGGGGGGTCCTTGCATTGGGTGGGGGTCAGGGTTGGGGGGAACTGGATTGGGTGGGGGTTAGGGTGGGGGTCAGGGTGGGGGTGGGTCCCTGCATTGGGTGGGGGTCAGGGTGGGGGTTAGGGTGGGGGGGGTCCCTGCATTGGGTGGGGGTCAGGGTGGGGGTCAGGGTGGGGGGGGTCCCTGCATTGGGTGGGGGTCAGGGTGGGGGGGGTCCCTGCACTGGGTGGGGGTCAGGGTGGGGGGGGTCCCTGCATTGGGTTGGGGTCAGGGTGCGGGGGGGACTGAATTGGGTGGGGGTCAGGGTGGGGGTTAGGGTGGGGGGGGTCCCTGCATTGGGTGGGGGTCAGGGTGGGGGTCAGGGTGGGGGGGTACCTGTGGGGGGAGGGTCCCCAGCACCTCCTGCAGGTCCCGGGGCCGGGTCTCAGGGGGGGACCCATCGGGGGGGTCCTCATCCGGGAGCTCCATGTCCCCATCTGCACATGGGGGGGGGGGGCAGCACCCATGGGTGCCCCATCCCCCTCCTCAGCACCCATGGGTGCCCATCCCCTCCTTAGCACCCATGGGTGCCCCTGTGCCCATCCCCTTTGGGTGCCCCATCCCCTCCTTAGCACCCATGGGTGCCCCTGTGCCCATCCCCTTTGGGTGCCACATCCCCTCATTAGCACCCATGGGTGCCCCTGTGCCCATCCCATTTGGGTGCCCCATCCCCTCCTTAGCACCCATGGGTGCCCCTGTGCCCATCCCCTTTGGGTGCCCCATCCCCTCCTTAGCACCCATGGGTGCCCCTGTGCCCATCCCCTTTGGGTGCCCCATCCCCTCCTTAGCACCCATGGGTGCCCCGGTGCCCATCTCATTTGGGTGCCCCATCCCCTCCTTAGCACCCATGGGTGCCCCTGTCCCCATCCCCTTCCCTATTCCCCTTGGATACCACAGCCCCCATCACCCCAGGTCCCCATAGCACCCATGGGTGCCCCTATCCCCATCACCCCATAGCACCCATAGGTGCCCCCATCCCCATCCCTATCCCCCTCGGATACCACAACCCCCATCACCCCACAGCACCCATGGGTGCCCCCATCCCCATCCCCATCCCCCTCGGGTACCGCAATCCCCATCTCCCCATAGCACCCATGGGTGCCCCCATCCCCACCACCCCATCGCACCCATGGGTGCCCCATCCCCATCCCCCTCGGGTACAACAATCCCCATCACCCCATCACCCCATAGCACCCATGGGTGGCCCCATCCCCACCACCCCATAGCACCCATGGGTGCCCCATCCCCATCCCCCTTGGGTACCACAATCCCCACCACCCCATCTCCCCATAGCACCCATGGGTGCCCCCATCCCCATCCCTATCCCCCTTAGGTACCACAATCCCCATCTCCCCATAGCACCCATGGGTGCCCCCCCCATCACCCCATAGCACCCCCCATCATCCCCATAGCACCCATGGGTGCCCCATCCCTATCCCCCTCAGATACCACAATCCCCACCACCCCATCTCCCCATAGCACCCATGGGTGCCCCCATCCCCATCCCCCTTCGGTACCAGAATCCCCATCACCCCATCACCCCACAGCACCCATGGGTGCCCCCATCCCCATCCCCACCACCCCATCTCCCCATAGCACCCATGGGTATCCCCCCACAATCCCCATCACCCCATAGCACCCATGGGTGCCCCCATCCCCATCACCCCATAGCACCCATGGGTGCCCCATCCCCATCCCCCTCGGGTACCACAATCCCCATCACCCCATCTCCCCATAGCACCCATGGGTGCCCCCATCCCCACCACCCCCTAGCACCCATGGGTGCCCCATCCCCATCCCCCTCGGGTACCACAATCCCCATCATCTCCCCCCATAGCACCCATGGGGTGCCCCCATCCCCATCACCCCATAGCACCCATGGGTGCCCCATCCCCATCCCCCTTGGGTACCACAATCCCCATCACCCCATCTCCCCACAGCACCCATGGGTGCCCCATCCCCACCACCCCATAGCACCCATGGGTGCCCCATCCCCATCCCCCTCGGGTACCACAATCCCCATCACCCCATCTCCCCATAGCACCCATGGGTGCCCCCATCCCCACCACCCCATCTCCCCATAGCACCCATGGGTGCCCCATCCCCCTCGGGTACCACAATCCCCATCACCCCATCTCCCCATAGCACCCATGGGTGCCCCCATCCCCATCCCTATCCCCCTTGGGTACCACAATCCCCATCACCCCATAGCACCCATGGGTGCCCCCATCCCCATCACCCCATAGCACCCATGGGTGCCCCATCCCCATCCCCCTTGGGTACCACAATCCCCATCACCCCATCTCCCCATAGCACCCATGGGTGCCCCCATCCCCACCACCCCATCTCCCCATAGCACCCATGGGTGCCCCATCCCCAACCCTATACCCCTCAGGTACCACAATCCCCATTTCCCCAGAGCACCCATGGGTGCCCAATCCCCATCCACCTCGGGTACCACAATCCCCATCACCCCATCTCCCCATAGCACCCATGGGTGCCCCCATCCCAATCCCCATCCCCCTCGGGTACCGCAATCCCCATCACCCCCATAGCACCCATGGGTGCCCCCATCCCCATCACCCCATAGCACCCATGGGTGCCCCATCCCCCTCGGGTACCACAATCCCCATCACCCCCATAACACCCATGTATTCCAACGCCCCCCCCCCCCCCCAATAGCACCCATGGGTGACTCACAGCCCGATGGGTGCTGCACCCTATGGGGCGCGTTGAGGCTGCGGCTCAAGAGGTCCGAGTACTTCTCGGTCTGCCCCACAATGAAGTCCAGTTGTAGGTCCAGGGCCTGCTTCCGCTTCTCCTCCAGGCGGGACTGCTGCTTGAACTGCACCACCTGCAACAGCACCCATGGGTGCCCCAGCACCCACAGCACCTATAGCACCCTATAGCGCCCTATAGCACCCATACACAGCACCCAATGGGCAGCTGCAGGCCCAGAGCCTGCTTCCGCTTCTCCTCCAGGCGGGACTGCTGCTTGAACTGCACCACCTGCAACAGCACCCATGGGTGCCCCAGCACCCACAGCACCCTATAGCACCCACAGCACCCATAGCACCCTATAGCACCCACACACAGCACCCAATGGGCAGCTGCAGGCCCAGAGCCTGCTTCCGCTTCTCCTCCAGGCGGGACTGCTGCTTGAACTGCACCACCTGCAACAGCACCCATGGGTGCCCCAGCACCCACAGCACCCTATAGCACCCATAGCGCCCTATAGCACCCTACAGCACCCAAAGCATCCCATACACAGCACCCAATGGGCAGCTGCAGGTCCAGGGCCTGCTTCCGCTTCTCCTCCAGGCGGGACTGCTGCTTGAACTGCACCACCTGCAACAGCACCCATGGGTGCCCCAGCACCCACAGCACCTATAGCACCCTATAGCACCCTATAGCACCCGTAGCACCCTATAGCACCCCATAGCACCCAGAGCATCCCATACACAGCACCCAATGGGCAGCTGCAGGCCCAGAGCCTGCTTCCGCTTCTCCTCCAGGCGGGACTGCTGCTTGAACTGCACCACCTGCAACAGCACCCATGGGTGCCCCAGCACCCACAGCACCTATAGCACCCACAGCACCCTATAGCACCCTATAGCACCCAAAGCATCCCATACACAGCACCCAATGGGCAGCTGCAGGCCCAGAGCCTGCTTCCGCTTCTCCTCCAGGCGGGACTGCTGCTTGAACTGCACCACCTGCAACAGCACCCATGGGTGCCCCAGCACCCACAGCACCCTATAGCACCCATAGCACCCTATAGCACCCATACACAGCACCCAATGGGCAGCTGCAGGCCCAGAGCCTGCTTCCGCTTCTCCTCCAGGCGGGACTGCTGCTTGAACTGCACCACCTGCAACAGCACCCATGGGTGCCCCAGCACCCACAGCACCCTATAGCACCCATAGCACCCTACAGCACCCAAAGCATCCCATACACAGCACCCAATGGGCAGCTGCAGGTCCAGGGCCTGCTTCCGCTTCTCCTCCAGGCGGGACTGCTGCTTGAACTGCACCACCTGCAACAGCACCCATGGGTGCCCCAGCACCCACAGCACCCTATAGCACCCATAGCGCCCTATAGCACCCTATAGCACCCATAGCACCCTATAGCACCCATACACAGCACCCAATGGGCAGCTGCAGGCCCAGAGCCTGCTTCCGCTTCTCCTCCAGGCGGGACTGCTGCTTGAACTGCACCACCTGCAACAGCACCCATGGGTGCCCCAGCACCCACAGCACCCTATAGCACCCATAGCACCCTATAGCACCCTATAGCACCCACACACAGCACCCAATGGGCAGCTGCAGGCCCAGAGCCTGCTTCCGCTTCTCCTCCAGGCGGGACTGCTGCTTGAACTGCACCACCTGCAACAGCACCCATGGGTGCCCCAGCACCCACAGCACCCTATAGCACCCATAGCGCCCTATAGCACCCATACACAGCACCCAATGGGCAGCTGCAGGCCCAGAGCCTGCTTCCGCTTCTCCTCCAGGCGGGACTGCTGCTTGAACTGCACCACCTGCAACAGCACCCATGGGTGCCATAGCACCCACAGCACCCTATAGCACCCATAGCGCCCTATAGCACCCATACACAGCACCCAATGGGCAGCTGCAGGCCCAGAGCCTGCTTCCGCTTCTCCTCCAGGCGGGACTGCTGCTTGAACTGCACCACCTGCAACAGCACCCATGGGTGCCACAGCACCCACAGCACCCTATAGCACCCACAGCACCCTATAGCACCCATAGCGCCCTATAGCACCCATACACAGCACCCAATGGGCAACTGCAGGCCCAGAGCCTGCTTCCGCTTCTCCTCCAGGCGGGACTGCTGCTTGAACTGCACCACCTGCAACAGCACCCATGGGTGCCCCAGCACCCTATAGCACCCATAGCACCCACAGCGCCCTATAGCACCCAGAGCATCCCATACACAGCACCCAATGGGCAGCGGCAGGCCCAGGGCCTGCTTCCGCTTCTCCTCCAGGCGGGACTGCTGCTTGAACTGCACCACCTGCAACAGCACCCATGGGTGCCCCAGCACCCACAGCACCCTATAGCACCCACAGCACCCTATAGCACCCTATAGCACCCTATAGCATCCTACAGCACCCAGGGCATCCCATACACAGCACCCAATGGGCAGCTGCAGGCCCAGGGCCTGCTTCCGCTTCTCCTCCAGGCGGGACTGCTGCTTGAACTGCACCACCTGCAACAGCACCCATGGGTGCCCCAGCACCCACAGCACCCTATAGCACCCACAGCACCCTACAGCACCCTATAGCACCCTATAGCACCCTATAGCATCCTATAGCACCCAGGGCATCCCATACACAGCACCCAATGGGCACCCAACCATGACCATGAGGCCACCCAACCATGACCATGAGGCCACCCAACCATGACCATGGGGCCACCCAATGGGCACCCAACCATGACCATGGGGCCACCCAACCATGACCATGGGGCCACCCAATGAGCACACAACCATGACCATAGGGCCACCCAATGGGCACCCAACCATGACCATGGGGCCACCCAACCATGACCATGGGGCACCCAATGGGCACCCAACCATGACCATGAGGCCACCCAACCATGACCATGGGGCCACCCAACAGGCACCCAACCACGACCATGACGCCACCCAACCATGACCATGGGGCCACCCAATGAGCACCCAACCACAACCATGGGGCCACCCAATGGGCACCCAACCATGACCATGAGGCCACCCAACCATGACCATGGAGCACCCCATAGGAACCCAATCATGACCATGGGGCCACCCAATGGGCACCCAACATTGACCATGGGGCCACCCAATGGCCACCCAACCATGACCATGGGGCCACCCAACCATAAACATGGGGCCACCCAACCATAAACATGGGGCCACTCAATGAGCACCCAACCATGACCATGGGGCCACCCAACCATGACCATGGGGCCACCCAACCATAACCATGGGGCAACCCAATGGGCACCCAACCATGACCATGGGGCCACCCAATGGACACCCAACCATGACCATGGGCCGCCCAATGGGCATCCAACCATGATCATGAGGCCACCCAACCATGACCATGGGGCCACCCAACCATGACCATGGGGTCATCCAATGGGCACCCAACCATGACCATGAGGCCACCCAATGGGCACCCAACCATGACGCCACCCAACCATGACCATGGGGCCACCCAACCATGACCATGACGCCACCCAACCATGACCATGGGGCCACCCAATGGGCACCCAACCATGACCATGGGACCACCCAACCATGACCATGACGCCACCCAATGGCCACCCAACCATGACCATGGGGCACCCAATGAGCACCCAACCACAACCATGGGGCCACCCAATGAGCACCCAACCACGACCATGACGCCACCCAACCATGACCATGGTGCCACCCAATGGGCACCAAACCATGATCATGAGGCCACCAAACCATGACCATGGGGCCACCCAATGAGCACCCAACCATGACCATGGGGCCACCCAACCATAATGATGGGGCCACCCAATAGGAACCCAATCATGACCATGGGGCCACCCAATGGGCACCCAACCATGATCATGAGGCCACCCAAGCATGACCATGGGGCCACCCAATGAGCACCCAACCACGACCATGGGGCCACCCAACCATGACCATGGGGCCACCCAATGGCCACCCAACCATGACCATGGGGCCACCCAATGGGCACCCAACCATGATCATGAGGCCACCAAACCACGACCATGGGGCCACCCAATGGCCACCCAACGATGACCATGGGGCACTCAATGAGCACCCAACCATGACCATGGGGCCACCCAACCATGACCATGGGGCACCCAATAGGAACCCAATCATGACCATGGGGCCACCCAATAGGCACCCAACATTGACCATAGGGCCACTCAATGAGCACCCAACCATGACCATGGGGCACCCAATGGGCACCCAACCATGATCATGAGGCCACCAAACCACGACCATGGGGCCACCCAATGAGTACCCAACCACGACCATGGGGCACCCAATGAGCACCCAACCACAACCATGGGTGCCCACCCAACGCCCCTCGACAACGCCGATAAAGACCGGAACTCAACCGTAACCGACAGCAACCACCCCACCATAGATGACGAAAGGAAAGGGGTAGCACCCATGGGTGACGGATGGATGGGTGGGTGGGGGAGGGGAGCACCCATGGGTGCTATGGGGCAGCCCCCCCACCTTCTCCACGTTGCTCCAGAACTGCTTGACCTCCTTGGCGATGGTGGCGGCCACGCGGCGCAGCTTGGCCTGCTCCTCGCGCTTGGCGCGCTCCTCCTTCTGCCGCTGCTCCTCGTGGTGCCGCATCACCATGCGCACCACCTGGGGGGAGATGTGGGGCCACGTGTGGGGCAATGTGTGGGGCAATGTGTGGGGCAGAGGGCACCCATGGGTGCTGGGGGGGCGGGGGCAATTGCAATTGAATCCGATGGAGATGATGTCAATGGGATTCGATGCGGGCAAGCGCAACCGAACGCGATGGAGATGCAACCATGGGGGGTACCAACGGGTTTCTATGGGGCGCAATGGGTTTCTATGGGTCTGAATAGGTTTCTATGGGGCACAATGGGTTTCTACGGGTCCTATGGGTTTCTATGGGTCCTATGGGTTCCTATGGGTCCCAATGGGTTCCTATGGGTCCCTATGGCTCCCAATGAATTCCTATGTGTCCCTATGGGTCTCTATGGGTCCCTATGTGTCCCTATGGGTCCCAATGGTTCCCTATGGGTCTCTATGGGTCCCAACGCGTTCCTATGTGTCCCTATGGGTTCCATATGGGTCCCAATGAGTTCCTATGGGTCCCGCATGGCTCCCAATGAGTTCCTATGGCTCCCAGTGAGTTCCCTATGGGTCCCAATGAGTTCCCTATGGGTCCCAATGAGTCCCTATAGGTTCTGCATGGCTCCCAATGAGTTCCTATGGGTTCTGTATGGGTCCCAATGAGTTCCTATGGGTTCCGTATGGGTCCCAATGTGTTCCTATGGGTTCCGTATGGGTCCCAATGTGTTCCTATGGGTTCCGTATGGGTCCCAATGTGTTCCTATGGGTTCTGTATGGGTCCCAATGAGTTCCCTATGAGTCCCAATGAGTCCCTGTGCGTCCCAATGTGTTCCTATGGCTCCCAATGAGTTCCTATGGGTCCCAATGTGTTCCTATGGGTCCCAATGAGTTCCCATGGGTCCCAATGTGTTCTTATGGGTTCCTATGGGTCCCAATGGGTTCCTATGTGTTCCTATGGGTCCCAATGAGTTCCCTATGGCTCTCAATGTGTCCCAATGCATTCCTATGGGTTCCGTATAGGTCCCAATGAGTCACTATGGGTCCCAATGTGTTCCTATGGGTTCCGTATGGGTCCCAATGAGTCCCTATGGGTCCCAATGAGTCCCTATGCGTCCCAATGCGTTCCTATGGGTCCCGTATGGCTCCCAATGAGTCCCTATGTGTCCCAATGTGTTCCTATAGGTTCCGTATGGCTCCCAATGTGTTCCTATGGGTCCCAATGAGTTCCCTATGGGTCCCAATGGGTTCCTATGGGTTCCATATGGCTCCCAATGAGTTCCTATGGGTCCCAATGTGTTCCTATGGGTCCCAATGAGTTCCATATGGGTCCCAATGAGTTCCTATGGGTCCCAATGTGTTCCTATGGGTTCCTATGGCTCCCAATGTGTTCCTATGGGTCCCAATGAGTTTCCTATGGGTCCCAATGTGTTCCTATGGGTCCCAATGTGTTCCTATGAGTTCCTATGGGTCCCAATGTGTTCCTATGGGTCCCAATGTGTTCCTATGAGTTCCTATGGGTCCCAATGAGTTCCTATGGCTCCCAATGTGTTCCTATGGGTCCCAATGAGTCCCAATGGGTCTCTATGGGTCCCTATGTGTCCCTATGGGTCCCAATGTGTTCCTATGTGTCCCTATGTGTTCCTATGGGTCCCAATGCGTTCCTATAGGTTCTGCATGGCTCCCAATGAGTCCCTATGGGTCCCAATGCGTTCCTATGTGTCCCTATGGGTTCCGTATGGGTCCCAACGTGTCCCTATGGGTCCCAACGTGTTCCTATGGCTCCCAATGTGTCCCAATGTGTTCCTATGGGTCCCGTATGGGTCCCAATGAGTTCCCTATGGGTCCGAACGTGTTCCCTATGGGTCCCAACGCGTTCCTATGTGTCTCAATGTGTTCCTATGGGTCCCAATGTGTTCGTATGGGTTCCGTACGGGTCCCAATGTGTTCCTATGGGTTCCGTATGGGTCCCAATGAGTCCCTATGTGTCCCAATGAGTTCCCTATGGGTCCCAACGTGTCCCTATGGCTCCCAATGTGTTCCTATGGCTCCCAATGAGTTCCCCATGGGTCCCAATGCGTTCCTATGTGTCCCTATGGGTTCCGTATGGCTCCCAATGAGTCCCTATGTGTCTCAATGTGTTCCTATGGGTTCCTATGGGTCCCAATGTGTTCCTATGGGTTCCATATGGGTCCCAATGTGTTCCTATGGCTCCCAATGCGTTCCTATGGGTCCCAACGGGTTCCTATGGCTCCCAATGTGTTCCTATGGGTCCCAACGTGTCCCTATGGCTCCCAATGAGTTCCTATGGGTCCCAATGAGTTCCTATGGGTCCCGTATGGCTCCCAATGAGTTCCTATGGGTCCCGTATGGCTCCCAATGAGTTCCTATGGGTCCCAATGAGTTCCTATGGGTCCCGTATGGCTCCCAATGAGTTCCTATGGGTCCCAATGAGTTCCTATGGGTCCCGTATGGCTCCCAATGTGTTCCTATGGGTCCCAATGAGTTCCTTATGGGTCCCAATGAGTTCCTATGTGTCCCAATGTGTTCCTATGAGTTCCCCATGGGTCCCAATGAGTCCCTATGGGTCCCAATGGGTTCCTATGGGTCCCAATGAGTTCCCTATGAGTCCCAATGAGTTCCTATGGCTCCCAATGAGTCCCTATGGGTCCCAATGAGTCCCTATGGGTCCCGTATGGCTCCCAATGAGTTCCTATGGGTCCCAATGTGTTCCTATGGCTCCCAATGAGTTGCCCATGGGTCCCAATGAGTTCCTATGGGTCCCAGTGTGTTCCAATGTGTGCCTATGGGTTCCTATGGCTCGCAGTGCGTTCCTATGCGTCCCAATGACTTCCTATGGGTCCCAATGACTTCCTATGGGTCCCAATGTGTTCCTATGGGTCCCAATGAGTCCCTATGGCTCCCAATGAGTCCCTATGAGTCCCAATGTGTTCTTATGGGTCCCAATGGGTTCCTATGGGTCCCAATGGGTTCCTATGGGTCCCAGTGTGTTCCTATGGCTCCCAATGAGTTCCTATGGGTCCCAATGTGTTCCTATGTGTCCCTATGGGTTCCGTATGGGTCCCAATGAGTTCCTATGGGTTCCGTATGGGTCCCAATGTGTTCCTATGGGTTCTGTATGGCTCCCAATGTGTTCCTATGGGTCCCAATGTGTTCCTATGGCTCCCAATGAGTTCCCTATGGGTCCCAATGCGTTCCTATGGGTCCCAATGAGTCCCTATGGCTCCCAATGAGTTCCTATGGCTCCCAGTGAGTTCCTATGGCTCCCAATGAGTCCCTATGGGTCCCAATGAGTCCCTATGGGTCCCAATGAGTCCCTATGGGTCCCAATGAGTCCCTATGGGTCCCAATGAGTCCCTATGGGTCCCAATGAGTCCCTATGGGTCCCAATGAGTCCCTATGGCTCCCAATGAGTTCCTATGCGTCCCAATGTGTTTCTATTGGTCCCAATGAGTTCCTATGGGTTCCGTATGGGTCCCAATGTGTTCCTATGGGTTCTGTATGGGTCCCAATGCGTTCCTATGGGTCCCAATGAGTTCCTATGGGTCCCAATCAGTCCCAATGCGTTCCTATGTGTCCCGGCGCGTTCGCCTATGGGTCAGCCCCCCCCCCATATTCTACCTTGCGTGCCACTCCCCTCTTCCAGCGTCGCTCCTGGGCGAAGTCGGCGGCCAACCACTGCATCTCCTCGCAGAGGTAATCCCAGTGCACCTTGGGACGCGGCGGCTCCGGCACCTTGGGCAGGCGGCGGAGGGACCAGAAACCCTCGCGCTTCATCTCGGCCACGCGGTGCTCCACCTCCGCCTCCTGGGGGGGAGAAATGGGGTAGGGGGGGGAAATGGGGGGAGATGGGGGGAGATGGGGAAAAATGGGGGAAAAATGGGGAAAAATAGGGGAAAAATGGGGGGGAAACGGGGAAAAATGAAGAAAAATGGGGGGAAATGGGGGGGAAATGGGGAAAAATGGGGGGAAAATGGGGGGGTATGGGGTGGAGATGGGGGGAATGGGGGGAAATAGGGGGAAAATGAGGGGGAATGGGGGGAAATCGGGGAAAATGGGGGGGAAAATGGGGGTAAAATGGGGGGGTATGGGGGGGTATGGGGGGGGAAATGGGGGGAAATGGGGGAA